AATGAAAATCCCTGAGTCATCCTGGTAACTCCTGATGACTCAGGTTATGAGGCTTTGGTGCATGTCCTCAGGATGACTCCCAAGTCCTTGGATGCTTGGAGACAGACTTCCTAGCCTTGTCAGGGCATCTGCAGTGGGTGGCCTTGAAGCTGTGGCTGGGGTGGGGGCCCAGTTAGTGTTTTATAGGGCGTTAGGTAAGGCTATGCGAAGACTGTATGACCTATGGAATATTTTTGCTTGCAATAAAAAGATGGCCTTGGCTAGCATATTTATCACACAGCTAGTGTAACAGAAAAGCAGTCGTCATTTATTTTTTTAAATTTTTTAAATTTTATTTTTGTTACAGATGTTTCTCCTTTTTTACCCCCTTGGCACCCTCTTCCTTATCCCCCCCATCCCATCCCCAGCTTTGATGTCCATGTCCATTGGTCATGCATACATGCATATAAGTTCTGTGGTTTATCTTTTCCCACCCCCACCACACCCTCTTCTGAGGGTTGTCAGTCTGTACCCTACTTCCATGTTTCTGGGTCTACCGTATTCCTCAGACTGTTATGTTCATTATATTCCGTATATAAGTGAGATCATGTGGTATTTGTCTTTTTCTGCTTGGCTTGTTTCGCTTAGGATAATACTTTCCAGGTCCCTCCATGTAGTCTCAAAGGATAAGAGATCTTTCTTTCTTACCGCTGCATAGTACTCCATTGTGAATATGTACCACTGCTTTTTTATCCATTCGTCTACTGATGAACACTTGGGCTGTTTCCAGATCTTAGCTATTGTAAATAGTGCTGCTACGAACATGGGGGTACATATATTCTTCCTGATTGGTGTTTCAGGCTTCCTAGGGTATATTTCTAGAATTGGGATCACTGGGTCAAATGGAAGTTCAATTTTTAATTTTTTGAGGTAGCACCATATTGTTTTCCATAGTGGCTGCACCAGTCTGCATTCCCACCAGCAGTGTACTAGAGTCCCCTTTTCTCCACACCCTCCCCAACACTTGTAGTTTGATGATTTGTTGATGGCGGCCATTCTGACAGGTATGAGGTGATTCCTCATTGTTGTTTTAATTTGCATCTCTCTGATGATATGGCTCTTGGCCATTTGTATGTCCTGTTTGGAGAGGTGTCTATTTAGTTCCTCTGCCCATTTTTAATTGAGTTCTTTGTCTTCCTTTTGTTGAGTTGTATGAGTACTCTATATATTTTGGAAATTAACCCCTTATCTGATGTATCATTGGCAATGATGTTCTCCCATGCAGTGGGTTGCCTTTCCATTATGATGATTGTTTCTTTTGCTGTGCAGAAGCTTTTTAGTTTGATGTAGTCCCATGTGTTCATTTTCTCCTTTGTTTCTATTGCCTTAGGTGATGTATCAGTGAAAATTCTGCTGCATACAATGTCCAAAATTTTGATGCCTACATTTTCTTCTAGAATTTTTATGGATTCACTGGTCACATTTAAGTCTTTTATCTATTTTGAGTTTATTTTTGTGTATGGTGTAAATTGATGGTCTAGTTTTATTTTTGTGCATGTAGCTGTCTAAGCAGTCATCATTTCTTCTGTTATTTTCCCTACTGTGTTATATTTCCTGTTGAATCAAATTAAGGAATGAAATCATATTCAAAACCAGGTCAGCAACTAAATGTTCTAATTGTCCCAAAGGCCTCCTTACTTTTGCTCTCCCTTCCCCATTCTCTCTGGATTGAAATTGGGGCAATCAATACCACCTGATGTGTCCAGGTCAGTTTTTCAATGCATGAGGTCTTTCTTCATGGCCACTAGAGAAAGAGATTAGAGCTTGGTTCTCTAGGTCATTAATTACAGTGATTTAGCACCACCCTTAAAGCATTGCTGTAAAGAACACTGCCCTCACCCTGAGCAGTCGAAGCAAGGCAGAGCTGAGGTGAGAGCATTCTCCATTTAGAAAGTACATTTTCTACCTCTCAGCATTTCCCAAGTTCACACCAAAGAGGACACTGGAACAGAAGTGTGTCAGATCTGTAGACATAGTTCCAATGGCCTTTCTTAGTCAATTTTGTCTTTTTAGGTAACTTGTAGTATGTAAATCTATGACTTTTCTTTCTGGTTAGAGGGGAGAATTTCTAGTCTCTATGTGTGTAGAGTGAAATGCAAGTTTGATATTACAATAGGGGGCACTACTTCTTCATACTAAATTTAAAGCATAATAAAATACATAAAGATGAGTAATGAGATAATAAGATGTTGACTGCAGGTGTGTCCTTCTCTCACATAGACATTAAAAAAAATTTTTTTTTATCTTCACCTGAGGACATTTTTTCATTTTTTGTTTAGATAGAGTAGGAGGGAGAGAGAGAGAAACATTGACGTGAAAGGGACACATCGAGTGGCTGCCACCCGCACAACCCAACCAAGGCCAGGGACAAACTGCAACCGAGGTACGTGCCCTAAGCGGGAACCGAATCCAGGTCTCTCTGGACCCCAGGCCGACACTCTAACCATTGAGCCAAACCGGCCAGGGCCTCTCAGATAGACATTTAAAGAGCTTGCAGAACATTCGTTGCTAGACACTCATAAACTCTCCTTTCCTGCATGATTCCACTTATACAAGGCATCCAAAATAGTCAAATTCATAGACTCATTGATTGGAATGGTGGTTTCCTGCTCTTTTTAATATGACTTTATGTGAAAAATGTTCTTTATTGACCAACTGTATCCCTAGAACTATAGCATGAACTAATTCACATTTCGAAGCTATTGTTACATGCTAGGCTTTATAATTGTTTCCAGGCTTTTCAGCCTATTCACAAACAAATGTAGTGGACTCTGGGGATCTTTTGACTTCCCCATGTTTAAATAAAAATTTAAATTCCTTTTTTTTTTTTTTTTTGCCCATGTTTCATATTGCTTTTGCAGTTGTTATTGTACTGTTATTATTTGTTTGCATACTCCTCCCTCAAGTACTCAATTTATAAATGTACAAGCTTAAAACACACTTTGTATGTAACTTGAAAAGATAAAAATTGAAATACTCAATTATAATAGACCTTAATATAATGATTGAAACTGGCTGAAACTTAAAAGATGAAATGAGCTATAGCATGCAAACGTTAATTGAAAGAAAGCATGAGTGACCACATTAATGTCAAATAGTGTAGTCTTCATTGCAAAGAAAATTACTACAGATAGAGAGGGATATAATAATAAAAAAATTATTGAAATGCTACTGTACTATAGTTTTGCAAGATGTTACCATTGAAAAAACTCAGTAAAGGGTATATGGAATTTTTAAATGATTTCTTACAATTGTACATGGATCTAGAATTCTCTCACAATAAAAAATTTAGTTAAAAAATATAGGTGGCATCATCTATAACTATATAAAAAACAAGCATTTATTTCTTTTCCCCTGAAGGATTTCTATTTAAAATAATTTTTTTCTCTTTATTGATTTCTAGAGGGAGAGGAAAAGAGAGAGAGAGAGAAACATTGATGTGAGAGAGAAACATAGATTGGCTGCCTCCTGCACGCCCCCTACTGGGGATGGAACCTGCAACTCGGGCATGCGCCCTGACCAGGAATCGAACTGTACCTCTCAGTCCATGGGACGATGCCCAATCCACTCAACCACACCGGCCAGGCAAAGGATTTCTATTTTAAAATGAAAGTATATCTAATACATTGTGTTTACTCATGTAAGTCCCAAAACAATTAGAATGATTTAGCAACCCATCAAAAGTTTTCTTGCACACTCAGAAGAATGTTTAGATGTTCTTAGACAAGACATATGCACCTGTAATTTTCTTTGTCTTGATGGGTTTTCAGTGGAATGTTCACAAACAAGTAATGTACTCAAGGGGCTATGTCCCCAAAGATCCCAAATCTCATAAATACAGCCTTACTCTACAGTGACAATATTTTGGCAATTCTCTTTATTGTTGATGTGCCAACATCTGCAGGTAATAATTTTCTATTTATATTGATATAGAAATGCTTGCTCTAATCTTTGTATATTAGAAGTTGAGGTTTGGTTATTCTAAGGAAATAACCCTTTGTTGGGTGTTCACTTACCTCTGTGAGCTTGGCTTGCTGTTGTCATGTACATCATCTTATTCGACAGAAGAATTCTATGAGCTATATTTGTTTTTAACAAATAAAGTGACAAAGGGTTGAAGGGTCTATGAAAGCTGTCTGAGATTCCACAGCATCCGTTGCAAACCTGGAGTTTGACACTAGGCCTGTATGGCTCCAAAGCTCGTGGCATTTTGTACAATCCTTCACTTCCTTGCCATAATGGCACTTGTGACGGACTCTGAATTTGTTTCTTGTGCATCTATTTTCTTTAAAATATTAAACATCCATTTAGTCTTGGGTCCATACTTAGTTAATAAAGTTCCATGTCTGTCCTGAACAAAGATAAGAAAGCTAGGACTTTGCTGTTCAGACTCATAATTATAAGGTGTTCATAACATGTTCAGTTAATCTACATAGGACATTATTCAAGCATTTCTGGTAAGAATAAAGCTGTGACATGTAGCTGGTTGAGCACATGGCTGTGATGGGGTGTGTGTGTGTGTGTGTGTGTGGGTGTGTGTGTGTGAGAGAGAGAGAGAGAGGGAGAGAGAGAGAGAAAGTGAGAGAGAAAGAGAGGAGAGAGTGAGAGTTCAATCTTCTTGACACTGAATATTTGAAGAAAAAACATTATTCTGAAATTTTAGTTGGTCTCTATTGATCAGGAAACACCTGACACCTAACAACATGTTGCAAGTATGAATTAAGTTTGCTAAGTTAAGAAAATTGTTTTATTCCTGGCCTATATCAATAAATATGTATACTATCAAGTTTCCCATGAGGTATTATATGTGAAAGCACTTTGTACCAAATTTACATTAGTGTGTCTATGTTTCTGTAACTTTTATTCCATAGTCACTGTAAGATAAGTGTACAAATTACAATGTTTTCTTCTGTTCTAATATCCACTTGTTTTGCTTTCAGTGGGCACCTTTCCCAGCATAGATGGGGACTGGAAATGATACAACTGTGACAGAGTTCATTATTTTGGGGTTAACAGAGGATACCACAATTTGTGTCATTTTATTTATTGTGTTTCTAGGAATCTATGTTGTCACCTTAATGGGCAATGTCAGCATAATCATGTTAATCAGAAGCAGCCTGCAGCTTCAGACCCCAATGTATCTTTTCCTCTGTCATCTGGCCTGTGTAGACATTGGATACTCTTCATCAGTCACACCCGTTATGCTCATGGGCTTCCTCAGGGAAGAAACCTCTATCAGTATTGCTGGCTGCATAGCCCAACTCTGTTCTGTGGTCACATTTGGGACAGCTGAGTGCTTCCTGCTGGCCGTCATGGCCTATGACCGCTATGTGGCCATCTGCTTTCCCCTGCTCTACTCCACCCACATGTCCCCCAGAATCTGCATTCTCTTAGTGGGGATGTCCTACCTCGGTGGATGTGTGAATGCTTGGACATTTACTGGCTGTTTATTAAGTCTATCCTTCTGTGGACCAAATAAAGTCAATCACTTTTTCTGTGACTATTCACCACTTCTGAAGCTTTCTTGTTCTCATGATTTTGCTTCTGAATTAATTCCAGCCTTCTCTTCTGGCTCCATCATTGTGGCCACTGTGTTTATCATTGTTCTGTCTTATGTCTACATCCTTTTCTCAATCCTGAAGATGAGCTCCGCCGAGGGGCGCCACAAAGCCTTCTCCACCTGCTCATCCCACCTCACAGCGGTCACCCTGTTCTATGGGACCATCACATTCATCTACGTGCTGCCCAAGTCCAGCTACTCAACTGACCAGAACAAGGTGGTGTCTGTGTTCTATGCAGTGGTAATTCCCATGCTGAACCCCCTTATTTACAGTCTCAGGAATAAGGAGGTTAAAGAGGCCATGATAAAATTGATGGCTAGAACACATTGGTTATCTTAAAGTAATCTGATTTTAATAATAAATACCATATAATCAGGACCTCTTTTACAGATGAGTGGACAATGGACTACGTAACTTTCATTGTATATTCATCATATTCTAGACTCATAAATGTCATTGTGTTATTCTCAAGAACATTTTCAGTGTAAAGGACACGTGTGCACTCACTAAGACAGGAGCATCTAGCAGATAATGCTTTATTCTTATTTCACCCACAACTTGTTGCTATTTTCAAATAAGTTCTACCCTCTTTGAATACAGTCTTTGTGATTAACAGCTAGAAGCATCTGAAACTCCTTGAATGGGAAATAGGAATCAAGTTGCCACCCAAGATCTCATCATCTGAAGGAGATGGTGTCCATGCTGCACAGATAATGAAAGGATTGAAATCAGTGATTCTGGTCGTTGTAAAGCTTCTGGTGTCCTGTGACCTGAGTGTGACCAACAGGACTCCTTCCACAGCACCTCTGCCAGGGAGCCTCTTCAAGCCAACTCAGACGATACTGAAAGCTCTATGTAGCTACCAGTTCTTTCTTTTCAGGAATCTGTTTGACAAAGTACATTAAGGAATACCCAAAAGAAATGGGGCTAATTTGTATGACCTGGCTCCTTTCTAGATGAAGAAGGAAGGTTACTTTTAAAAAATTTTTTATTTATTTTTATTTGTTCATCCTCACTTGAGGACATTTTTCCATTTATCTTTAGATAGGGCGGGAGGGAGAAGGGGAGGGAGAGAAAGAGAGAAACATCGATGTGAGAGAGACACATCGACTGGTTGCCACCCACAAAACCTCAACAGGGGCTGGGGACAAACTGCAACTGACGTACATGCCCTTAGCGGGAACCGAACCTGAGACTCTCTGGTCCGCGGGCTGACACTCTAACCGCTGAGCCAAACCGGCCAGGGTGGAAGGTTACTTTTTAAAGATTGTTTCAGTCTTGTCAAATGTATGCTGTATACTTCTTTAAAAAAATAAATTTTATTCAATTTATTGGGGTGACAATGGTTAATAAAACTATATAAGCTTTAAGTGTACAATTGTATAATACTGCATCAGTATATTGCATTGTGCTCACCACCCAAAGTCAAGTCTCCTTCTGTCACCATGTTTTGCCTCTTTACCCTCGTCTACCTCTCCTCACCACCCTTCCCCTTTGATAACCACCATACTGTTGTCAGTGTCTATGAGGTTTTTTTGTTTATTCATTTGTCATTTGTTGCTTTCTGTTTTATATCCCACATGTGAGTGCAATCCTATGGTTCTTGGGTTTTCCTGTCTGACTTATTTTACTTGGTGTGTTATGCTCAAGATCCATCCATGTTGCCACAAATGGCAGTATTTCTTTTCTTATGGTTGAGTGGTATTCCATTGCGTGTATGTATGACATCTTCTTTATCTAATCATCCACTGAAGGACACTTAGATTGTTCCATATCTTGGCCATCATGAATAATGCTGCAACAAGCATAGGGGTACACATATCTTTATGAATAAATGTTTTAAAAAATTTTGGGTAAATACTCAGAAGAAGGATGGCTGAATCATATGGTAGCTCTGTTCTTAATTTTTTTGAGGGAACTTTCCTACTGTTTTCCATAGTGGCTGTACCAGTTTACATTCCCACCAGCAGTGAATGAGGATTCTTTTTTCTCTACAATCTCTCCAACACTTGTTATTACTTGTATTGATAGTAGCCATTCTAACAGGTGTGAGGTGGTCTCGCATTGTAGTTTGGATTTACATTTCTCTAACAGTTTGTGAAGTTAAGCATCTTTTCATATATTTGTTAGCCACTTGTATGGGAGAAATGTCTGTTTAGGTCCTCTGCCCATTTCAAACTGAATTGTTTTGTGTTGTTGTTGTTGAGTTGTATGAATTCTTTATTTTGAATATTAGCTCCTTATCTGAAGTATTGTTTACAAATGTCTTTTTCCATTTGTTTGTTTTGTTTTGTTTTGTTGTCAGTTTCTTTTGCTGTGCAGAAGCATTTTGGTTTGATATAGTCCCATTCATCTATTTTTGCCTTTGCCTGCGGCTTTCCAGTTTTCCCAGCACCACTTTATTAATAAGGAGACTTTCTTTTTTCCAATGTATGTTTTTGGATACTTTGTCTAAAATTATTTGCCTATATATATGTGGATTACTTTCTGGCTATTGCCCAGTTTATATTAGGCATTAGGAAGGTCTTACATTGTCTTATTGTTTACATTTTCTACTGCAATAAAGAAAAATCAAAATGCAAGTTTCTTACAAAGGATTTATTTTTAAAAATGTTTTGATTGATATTTTAGAGAGAGAAGAAGGGAGAGAGAGATAGAAACATCAATGTGAGAGAGAAACATTGCTCAGCTGCCTCCTGCACGCCCCCTACTTGGTATCAAGCCTGAAACCTGGGCATGTGACCTGACCTGGAATCCAACCGAGACCTCTCAGTCTGTGGGAGGATGCTTAGTCCAATGAGCCACCCCAGCCTGGTGAAGGATTTATTTTTATAATTATGTTTAAAATGGCTGATAAAATACTAAAGCTGGACCCCTCAAAGGTGCTTGATTCCTCCTTTACCTTATTTACAAACAAAACTTAAAAAATAAAAATGCAGCATTTAAATATAAATGATTGGTGTTTAGCTGATTTTACAAATTAAAAAAACAAACAGTTTGCATGATAAAACTCTTTGTTTTGTCCTATTGCTCCCCATGCAATGGGTCAAGGGGAATAAATTTTAAGAATTACATAAATCTACCACACTAACAAAACACCTCTTAAGAACTGTTCTAATGTTTTTCTTTGTCCCAAAATGTATTTTTTTTAAAATTGTGTGTGCATGTGTGTGGAGGGTAGGCATAATTTGTTCAGTAAGGAAGGCAGAATCCTACACTGGTTTTAGATAAAGTTACTTGCAATAATCTAATATGGGGACAACAATCTAATATGGGGAAATTTGAATATAACACGCCAATGACAATAACTTGTCAATAAAATTAAAATAACAAACAACTCCTAGGATACTGAAATAGTCCCAGAAGGAAAGTCAGCGAGAACACTTGGAAGGTCTTTGCTGTAGTCTAAGGTGCTAAGATTGCATGTACAAAAGCGGAGGATACCACAGGCATTGTTTTGTTAATCTTGTACAGTACTGGAAATTTTGTGGAATAGGATAAATGCACATCATGCAATATAAACACTCACCTTGTTACTTAAAGGTTAATTTAGAAAATGTAAGCCAAAGAGAAAACAACAGAAACTAAGTTAACACTTACACAACACAGTAAGAGAACTGTGTGGTACAGCCTGCCTAAGGAGTTCTGCAGAGAGATGTATCTAAGGTTCTAAGCTCACTTTTTTTCCCAATTAAACCTTTCATTTATTATCTGATAATGGAGGTGGGGAGAGTGGGGAACACCTCACTGTGAAAAAATGGTATCCCAATACTCACTTTTCAAGGAAGAAACTCTACTCCTCACTTTTCTCATTAACGTCGACTGTGTTAAACAGTAAACAATACTCTGCATACCATTGAAATGGTTTAATTCCTGCAGATCCTACACTTCTATTTCTTGCCCTATTAATGAGCAACATCTATCTCACCTTAGAACACTGTTCTGCTCTGACCTCTTCTTTAGAACCAAAAACATAGCCTTTGAGAACATAAAAGGACAAGAAAGGAAATGCCCAAGGAGGTGGTCAGCTGCTTCAGGATGAAGCTGAACATCTCTTTCCCAGCCACTGGCTGCCAGAAATTCATCGAAGTGAATGATGAACAATGCGTGTATGGCCATAGAAGTTGCTGCTAACGCTCTGGGTGAAGAATGGAAGGGTTCTGAGGTTCAAATCACTGGTGGGAATGACAAACAAGGTTTCCCCATGAAGCAGGGTGTTCTGACCCATGGCTGTGTCCTCCTGCTACTGAATAAGGGGCATTCCTGTTATAGACCAAGGAGGATTGGGGAGAGGAAGCACAAGTCTGTTCAGGGTTGCATTGTGGATGCCAACCTCTATGTTCTCAACTTGGTCATTGTAAAAAAAAAAGGGGGGGAGGAGAAAGATATTCCTGGTTTCACTAATATTACTGTGCCTCATCAGTTGGGGCCCCAAAATGCTAGCAGAATCTGAAGACATTTCAATCTCTACAGAAGATGATGCGGCCCTGGCCTGTTTGGCTTAGTGGTTGGAGCATTGGCCTGCGGACCAGAGAGTCCCAGGTTCGGTTCCTGCTAGGGGCATGTACCAAAAAAAAAAAGTTATAAAGAAGATGATGCCTGCCAATATGTTGTGAGAAAGCCCCTAAGCAAAGAAGGTAAGAAACTAGGACCAAAGCACCCGAGATTCAGTGTCTTGTTACTACTCCAGGTCTCCTGCAACACAAAGGCAGGTGTATTCCTCTAAAGAAACAACATACTAAGAAAACTAAGGAAGAGGCCACATCATATACTAAACTTTTGGCTAAGAGAATGAAGGAGGCCAAAGAAAAATATCAGGCACAGATTGCCAGGAGACATAGGCTGTCCTTTCTGAGGGCTTCTACCTCTGGATCCAGTCAAAAATGAGGTTTTCGAAGAGTAACAAATAAGAATAGACATTAAAAAAACCCACCCAAACTCTCTCTCAGAATGCAATACGGCTCACTACTCAGAGCCATGCCTTAACTAGCATTCTGTCAGAGGGCCCGTTGATGGTGATTTCCTTAATTCAAGGGACTTCTTTCTGGCTTTCCCACTGCAGTCCACTAGAAGAACGCCTCTCATGTCCACAGACTATGTCCCAGATAATGCTTAGCTTCTCTTCTCTTACTGCAGTCATCTATGGCCAAATTGCCCTGTCTTTATACGTCTAGCACTGTACTTCTACCTAATTTTATGATTAATCACTTATAAATTTATATTTGCATATACATTTAATATACTTAATAAAATATTGTCAATAAAATCAAGCATGAAAATGTAATAACTGTTAAATGCAGTTATAAATAACAGAATGAAGTATAAGTTTTGCTCTTACA